CAGCCATAACAGCCAAGGTTAAAGAAGAAGAACTGATCAGGCTGGAAACTTTTTTTTTTTTAAAGGAGGAGAGAAGTAAAGCATATTTCTGAAGTAGTAAATACTTGTTCAATATAAGAAGGGTTATTAATGCATGACTGTGAATTAATATGGTGAATCAAATAAAAATGTGAAGTCCTGCTAAGAGTAAAGTAATGCAGTTGCCTTCTTTCCTCTAAGTATCATTAGAGGATTCTTTCTTGTGCTTGCCTCCTTTGTTCACTGCACAGCTACTGCCTGAAGAAAAGGGAAAAAAGTCACAGCTAAATGTTGAGTGAGAAGAGCTCATTCATTCCCTGTGGTGCAAAATATAAATAGAAGCAAGTGACCAAAATATAGAAAAACTTGCCCTAGTTTGTACAATAGTTCAATAAGGAATGGGGATATTGAACAAAACTTTTTGATTCACACTGCCGTTTTATGCGAGCCTCAGAAGTTTCCAATAATTTTAACTGTCATCATGAAAAACCCTCTTGTTTCTGCTAGACTATTTTTCTTGCATTTTATTTGTTTGGTGTTTTTTGTTTTTTGGTTTTTTTTTGTTTTTTTTTTTTTTGTCAGAGAGAACTGCTTTCAGGGTCAGTGTATACAGAGTTAAAATATGTGCTGGGAGAAGATGGCTTCCTGAATGTGCACCTTAATGTAGCTCACCTATCAAAAGGAAGTCATCTAAAGTATCTCAGTGGTGGTTGAGCTCCTGTCCAAAGTTACCTTTCAATTATGCAGTTCCTGAATATTTCCTGAATATGTAACCTTTTAGCTTCAGTCTCCCTCTCTTGGCTTTCAATGTGAGGGTTCTTACAGAGAGTTCCCTTAAAATWAGCAACATCAACATATGACCACACAGTGTTGACCTCTGTGTGTTATAAGCCACTTGTAGCAATTCACTCACCAAGGGGCATTCCTGAAAACTATAGGTGATGAGATTTAGTGGCAGTGACATCTTCYGTGTGTTGATTCCCAATATACTTTTGAGGAAGTTTTGCAGAACTTTGTTTTGGTTGAAGGKTTTTTTTTTAGAAAGAGCTCAATATAAAATCTTTAGACTATTTTTACACAGGCATGTTTTCATTTAGACTACAATGTTCAGGAACTGAATGTGCCTTTTGTATGTATGCGGAGCCCTCAATAAAGAAAAGTCATGTTCTTGTAGTTCCAGTTAGCTCTATAAATAGCTTTAGAATAATGTTGTGCTGAGAGCCATAGAGAGCCCCCATTGATCCCTCCCAGAATCTTGTCAAAAGGCAGAGGAGCAATGTACTTTAGACCTCAAGAGAGAGAGAATCCATGCTGGATATATCTCTTGGCATGAATTTTACCCAACATCACAAGTAGAGGGAAGATAACCTCTAGTTTCCTTTTACCCTCTGGTCGTGCTTCTTATAAAACTACTTGATACTTGGTAAGGGCAACTGCAATGATGGTGTCAATTGCCACTTTATGAAGAGAACTCAAGGATAAACCCCTCTGTTCCACATTCRTTTCCTCCTGTCCATAAACAGCTGTGTTTTTCTGACAGCTCTTTCATCATCATCAACTTGACCTAATGCAGAATTCTCTCTGCTGCATCCTTTTGTTCTGCTGGGGATGTCTCAGCCATTCTCCGAGTCCCCTTAGGCCTCCTCTCATACATTCTTTCTGCACAGTATCCTTGAGGTAGAACCTGTCCCAGCTGTCCATGCAGCKAAAAAATGACTCGTGTAGAGTCCTGCATCCCACTTACTTCCCTGGCCTTGACTTGACAAAAGCAGTCTTGTCCTACTCTCATTTATTCAAAATGGGCACTTCTGTCTTTTTTTCCATCTCACTTTGTTTTTCTCCATTGATTCCCTCTGTTCTGTCCCATCAAGTCTGACTACCAGCTTCCAGTGTCAGGGCTGCTCACAAACTTTTACCCCCTATTCTTTTTTCTTTTTTTTTTTTAATATGGGAAGACTGACTTTCATCTGTAGATGTTAAACCACATTAGTGTCAATCACTTGCATATTGTATTCTTATGCTAACGTCTCTTAGCTTTCTTATATGATTCCTGTAGGGAGGGATGGAGATCTTTAATATCTAATGACACGTTTCATTGACCTCCCACAAATCCTTAAAATGCTCATTCACTGTGATACTTCAGTGTTCTTGACATCACTTATATTAATCAGTTRCTTGTGTAACTAATTAAACTGTTGTACTCTAACTGACATGCCACGTTTAGTCCACTGTGTTTCTTTGAACATCCTCATCTGTATCCTAACTCTTGCTGGCGGTTTTAAACTTAGAATTGCCTTGAGAAAAAGGTCATTATTGTAATGTGTTTGGTGTTTATACAAAGCCTGGCACTCTGACTTTTGGCAGTTGGGAATCAGAAGGTGATTAAGGTATGCTTTGTGTCCCTGGCTCTGTGTAAATGGTTGATGGATTGTGATTTGTTGTGGATTCCAGCAGATTGTTCCAGACACCTTCATTGAACTTTCCACATATGCCACTTTGATAGTAATATATGGGCAGGCATCTAACACCTAGAGGTGTTGATACATCATGAAATATTTATAAGTATAGGAATAATGTGAAATCTCATCCAGACTTGATCCATCACTTTGAAATGTTTCATACCTGAAAAATCTCACTGTGTTCAGCACAGCCACCTGTGGAGGCTTCACAGAGACTGCAAATGCACTTTTAGTGTGGATTGAAAATGAATAAACTAAACTCTGAAATTGAATTGAGTTTAATTTTAACACCTGATGTAAATGCTAAAGTTTTTTGCATGCTGGGGACAACATAATTTTTAGTGATCATTTGGAATGTGTCTCYGTGTTCGCTATTTGCAACTTTCAAGTAATTTTCATTCCAAAAGTATGTTTGAAAAATACTTCAAGGCACTGAATTCCAAAATACACACTAAAAGGTGCAGCCCARATATGTTGGACTTAGATACATTCAGAGTATCCAAGTGTATATGCATTCACTGATTTTTGTTGAAAAATTCAGCATAACATCTTAGCATCTTAGTTCATGATGTATCAGAGTTTTACAGGTACCATGACAGAACAATGCTGGCTTTCAACTAAAAGCCATCTGTTAGCAGTAGGTTCAGTAATTGCTGATTACTGAAATGTATTTAAAACTTAGACAAAATCGCATTGACCAATGCGCTGAGTCATGGCCAAATAACAGCAGCCCCGGCACCTTTTTTTTATGCTGTATTTTTATGCATGCTSTTCATCTTCCCCACTGTGAAATACTGCATACATCACCATCTCTGCCCCAGTTTTGTCAATAAAGCTCTTCATTCAATTAAACAGCCAAAACAAGTTATCCATTGGAAATCCTGATTTAGGTATCTAGATGTTTATTTTTTTTGCCTTTTAATAATAATCCATTTATAGCTGCAAACAAACATTTTCAAAAAACATTTTCAAAAAGCAAGTAAATGAGCTTATGAATGTCTGCAGGGAAATATTTTGACTGTGTAACTATGATAATGTGATTGACAAGTAGAGAAACAGTGGGGCTTATTTTGTTTTTCTGGCTTGGTAAGTGAAATGCTACCTGGATGGAAAGCAGACGTGTAATCCAGTGAAGCATTTTTCCCTTTCTAATTAGTGATACTTTGAACTCCTTGGGGGAGACCAATTTRTGGACCCCATGCTGCATTATCCCTTCAATAAACATATATACTGACTCCAAGCACAGATCAAATAGCTCAGCTTCTGTAGCCTGATTTTGCTCTCAGTCTCATATATTTTGCTGTGTGATTTTTACAGCTTGGTATCTTGTAGAATTTGTGGAGTAAAAAACATATTTTTGTTAGATTAATGAACTCATTGTGAGAAATGCAGCTCCTTTATCCTTCATTTGCGATAAAGATAAGCTGGTACTTCATTTAGTCAGAAAAGTTAAAATCCAATGGTTATTTTCCTTCTTTTAAGTCACTCAATAATTTCTTACAATTATATAGTAAATGATATGATTTGAAAAAGGATGCTGAAAAAAAGTTTTTAATTATKATCATTGAAATCTGTCTGGAAGTGTATTGCCATGTGAATAGTTGCTTCTGAGTCCTATCTCAGACTCTGCCACTGATCTGCTGTATTTTAGCAGGCAACCTACTGATTTGATTCCTTAGAGACAACATGTATTAAATGGAGATGCGACCACRTCACTTACAAACAGTGTGATGTTAGCATTTAGTCCGGAAAAGCTATCTATGCTTAGAATTCCCATTTATTTCAGGTGGAAATGACTGTTGGATGGATCTCAGGAGCATTATTTGTAATGCACATGTTTGAGAGGTTATTAATGGATGAAAAGCTTATAGAGGTTTGGTATTTTGAATTTACTAATGCTTCAATTTTTGTTTTGGTGGCATAACTAAGTAGAAAGAAACCAAAGCRCATTAGTGAGAGATGAGGACAACATTCAAAAGTCTAAGATTGATGAAAAGAGAAACTATTGTGGTTTAATCTAATCTGATACACCAGTTCTGAAACAAAACATTTTAATCTATTAAGAAATTTAGTGTACCTATTTTCCAAAAATTAGAGCTGATTTAATGTAGTAAATAGTGGGATTTTTCACCCATGATCTTCTGCATCAAATTCAGGAAAGCCACATGACTGCAGGATGGCCTGTGTGTCTGATAGTGTGAAGGGAGCTCTGGTTATGATGGCAGGACCCCTGAACCTGTGTCTGAACAGAGAAAATCTCCTGTAGCCAGGTTTTGCTGTACAGTTGGGATATCTTAACCCAAGGAGGATTTTATGTCATCAACTTTGTAATAGGGCAATAATTTTACTGCTTTTTCAGTTTGACACAGCAATGTTATCTCTGTGGGAGCATTTGAGGTACTGTTAGCTTTTTTGGTYGTTTTTATTTTTCTGTCTATAATAACCAGTTACCCCAAGTGTTACTTGAAATAGCAACTATTCTCACTGAACTGCAGTTTGATTTTCTTTTGGCTTTTATTCCAGCTGCGGGAGCCAGCTGCTCCAAAGAGTGTGGGAAGCTGACTTGGAAGCCTGTCAGCTGCTGATCCGAGGGTTTCAGCTGAAAGAAACCAGTTGCTGTGTTTTTGAGGAAGAAGAAAACCAAATGGATGAGATGGAAATGACTGCTGATGCCCCACCTGACTCTGAAAAAAGAAAAGAAGGTCACTTTCTAAAGGGCACGGAGTGGGATGCTGTTTCCTGCCCCAAACACCGTGAGCTGAAAGAGGTATCTGAAATAGTCTGCAGCTGCATTTCAAGGGATACTGCTGGTTTTCCTTTTGAGAGGAGGAGTTGAATCTTGGTGACGGGTCAGCAGGGCAGGTTAAGTATGAACTTAACATCTCGCTTCCAATCTGGGATGTGAATAAAATAGTTTATTCMCTTCTCAGAAGCCCTTCAACCCATTTTCCTTTTGCCATCAGTCTTTTTGAAGGGTGGAAATTATTCAGGCAATAAATACAGAATGAACATCAGGATTTAAAGGAAAAACTRTTAGGTATTTAACCAAAATTATCAACTGTTCATCACCTCACTGACGAGTTTCGTTCTGATTTGGTTCTGCTGACTCATTCGCTTGGATCAGTGTTGACATCAGGAGAGAGTTTGTTTTTCCTTCCCTTAATGAAATGAGTTAATAGATGCTAATAGGCTTACAGCATCCAACAAATAATATAAGRAGGAAAAAATCATGAAGCTTAGAAGGTTTGACAAATCTTTTTTGAGTTTTCATGTTCTGATCTGGAATGCCATCCTTTCTTGAAAAATCTACTGCTAGCTAATAGTCTTTTAAACGTACTGCCTAGGTAAACAAGCTGTTAAAAAAGCTTCATCATCCAACAGCACCACTGTGACAAAAAGAYCCTCCAACAGCAGTTGTTAGTTTTATTACTGTGGAATTTAGTTGACAAAAATTTAAATTACGCTTAATTGCATCTGATGATAAGAGCCATTGAACTGTGGGTTGCTGTGAAATCCAGTGCCTAATTTTGCATTTATACTGGCTGAGACTTAGTGGAAAGCAGACCCTGACCTTACTGTAAAATCTCTTGTTAGTAAAGTTCTGGTTTTATATTGGGCTTCAGTAGTTCCTGCAGTCTTTTCCCAGGGGATGTTGGTTACAGACTGACTTCACATAGAGAATGTTTTCATTAGAAATGGTCAGCTTGCTTTGGTTYCACCCCCATTGGTCCCTTATCAAATTTTTTATGAGTCTGCTGGAASACCATGAGGAGTTCTGTTGGTTATGGAAAGCTATGCTCTTCTTTCAGAAGTGCCTAGTGGCTCTGGAGAGTTTGGAATTTTATGAGTATTTCTGGAGCACTCCTGATATTTGTGCTGTAGATTATCACCTATTTCACCCTTGCAAGTCCAGATTGTTTCCCTGGAAATCAACCTTGCTCTCTAAGAATGACAACTGGGCAGCTGAAGTGAGGTGACGTCTGGTTCTGGAGAGATGTGCAGGACTTGAGGGATGGTTCCTCATACCTTTAATGGAAGAGGAAAGTGCATTTGCAGTGCTTCCACTGAGCTCTTCCTTTTGAGCTTGGTTTTTGATAATCTCCTCTCTGCCTCTATTAGCCATAGAGGAAACTTAGAAACACTACCCACTAATTTCAACTCTTCACCTAGGTGCTTAAACTTTGTGGTATATCCTGGTATCCTGAACAAATTCCATTTTGAGAATGTGCTAAAATCCTCAGAAGCTGAWGTGTAAACATGAAAATGTCCACCAGGGAAGGATCTGTGGATGTACTCCTCCATCTGATTCCTAAAGTGCTCCTARGACTGATAAACTTGAAAGAAAAAAGGAAGTGGTTTTGCTAGTGTGAGACCATTCATGTGTTGTCCAATTTTTTGAAACACTTTTTTTTTTGTTGTGGATTATGGAAGTTTTGCACCCAAAAAATGCCTTAGGTTGTAAAACTAATAGGATTTCATTTGAAGTGACAGGCAAAATCTAAACTTTTAGAGAAGAGCCATAACAGATTATTCCCTAACATCTCTGAGTAGTTGATCACAAGGCAGAATATAAAAGCAAACAAAATAACCTRACACAAATCATGATAACCTGTGGTTCTGAACATGTTGAAGTGCAAGAAAGAGTCCATCTTTATTTGCATATRGACTTAGTTGAAAAACAAACCACTTCTGAAGTGTTTAACTGTTCTGTTACATGGTAGTGTAGTTTTTATTTAAAAATAATTCAGTATTTGGGCAGAAAAAAAAAGTAGTGATGTGGTGCTTAGTCTCAGTTTAGCTGTTCGTATAACTTCCATGGAAAAGCTTACTCTTGTCCATTAGCAGGGAACCTTTTCATAGCCATTTATAAGCRAGTGAGGATACCTAATAGAAAAGCATGTATTTGTCAAAATACTTGGTTTCATATGATTTAACAAGGCTTTGGTGCCCCTGTGGGAGGAGTAGCTTGCTGTGGTTGCCATGTTTCTGGAATGACTATTCTCTTCAACTGTGTCTCAACCTCTGTTCACCATTAAGGCATTTTTAGAGAGCACCATTGGCCACTRAAGCAGAAGGAAAGAATCACATTCTTTGTACTTAGAGGTGACTGAATTAATTACTTCGAGACAATATAGRAAAGGCTAATAATAACATATRTGCATATATGCCTTGGAAAGTACATTTCATTTCCAGGTGATTGGTTTATTTTACAGTGGAATTCTGGAGGGAAGCTCTCCAGTTATTTATTGTATCATACAGAGCTGAGCACTAGTGCCAGCTGAATATTGGTTTTGTTGATGTGTACTATAAATAATTTTCTTGCGTATACCTGTATCTTTCTCTATAGGTTTCATTAGAAAGCAGAAAAACAAGTAAGAAACATAACAATAACAAGAGAAGCAAAATAGATGAAAGAGCCCTTCTGTTTTATCCTCAGATACTGCTTTCCATAGGGGCCATTTATCATTTTTAATTAAATATCCTCACTAAATCATAAGATATGATATATTCTGGTATAAAAATATGTAAGGTATAAATTCTTTGAAAGTTTGTTATTTTACAATCATGTAAGCACAGGTTTATTAACTGTCAACAGTTATTTTATGGTTTTCATAACTGTGTTTTCTAAGACACTATTTTTTTTCCCCCCCAGGTTTTATATGGTACTCTGGCATCCCCAAATAATTCAGTAAATAAGGTTTCCTTTGTAACACTGACTGTTTACAAGGTGGATAATCAGATGCATTGGCAACTCAGCTTGTTGAAATATCATGAATGATGTTTTGGTCAAAACTAAATAAAGTGGGGCCAGCAAAAATCCTGTGAACCCCTCTGAGTTCCTTAAATAAGATGTGCTTCTCTCAATTGCAGATAACTCATTAGATAACTACATACTAAAAAAAAACACTGAAGGAAAGTTGCAGACAATATTACTACCCTCAGTCATGTGAAAGGCAGCTTGTCTAATGTATTTGATACAGATTGTTGAATTCTAATATAAGTGTGTATTTTCCAGCTGGTWGCTATGTCAGTGAAATTAGGGTGTCCCATCATTTCAGTTGTAGTTTGACTTTTTGTGACTATTTGGGCCTAATTTTCTTCCAAGTGTCTGAAGAATTAAAGGTGGGTTTCTGGTTTTCTGGAACATTTCACGAATGTTCCTTGCTTTTAAACTCAGTGAGGTGGTAATTRCAATGATCATTACTGCATGGTTATATGCATATCTGGGTGATTTCTAAAACATACAGTAACATTTCATTCCTCTTCAGACATTAATGCCTGCTTGTTCCACTCCTTATACTACCCTGCTTTATTTTTCCTTCTTGATAATGTGTGTGTAAGCAAAATGCTTTTATAAAATGCTTTTAAAAAGAGCAAAAACCACCAGTGATAACTGATAAGCTGAGAGAGATGGGTGTGTGCTGGGACCTCCCTAACAGCAAGTAACTTAATAAACATGGCTATGTGTGCACCTGCAGGCTTGAGTTCCTGACCTATCATTKTTTCTTCTTCTGCTCTCTGGCATGCTGTGCAGTGCTCCCTCTTAATCACTATGAAGGAAAGAAACACCTACTAGATTTCAAGAAAAATCATTGAGGTGATTAAAGTTACAAGGTAAAATCCAAAATTCAGTAGYTYTAMYTTCTGTAAGTCAGCGTTTTTGGTARTTATCCCATCAGAATTGTTTGTAGATAATTTCTCACTTTTTCCTCATAAAAGAAGTAGAGAAAAAGCATAAGGGTACGGGCTGCCTTCTTTTTCTCTCCTCTACATACTTCAGTTTGGCCATCTGGGATAATGTTTTGGGGTCTGTTGAAGATCACTCTGGTGTTGGGAAATGTTCTATAATTATAAAGCCTTCTTGTGATTAAGTTTTTAAAAAGATGCTGAAGTCTAAGTGATACCAAATGGACAGTCATGAAAAAATAATATTTAATGTGGTGTCTGTCATTGAAAAGAAGTTATCACAGAACATGGTACAACATTTTTCAGAATTTAGTGATAGCAAGCACCAGGAAAGCCTTTGTGAGYAGACTGTAACTCATTTTTGTGCATTGAGACAGCCTGTGGTCCAGGAGGCAAACGTTTAATGTGTGAAGGACAAAGCCCTTCGAAAGCTAAACAAACCATGCATTCATTTGAGCTTTAATTAAATGCTGTATTTGTGGAGCTTAGAAAATAATTTGGAAATTTTAAATTTAATCTTAGTTTTAAATGTCAGTGTTAAGCATTAGTGAAAGTCGGCGCCTGTGTGTTTCTTGTATTGATCCAAGCTGGAAAGGGTGTCAGTGGCCCGGGGCAGCTGGGGCTCGTACRCARTGGTCAGATCAGAAGATTAWTATTACAGCCAARAGAAATCYAAACCATTTTTCAGATTGATTGCTGAAAATAGCATCTGGTAACAATAGTGATTTTATGGGAGATAAATGATTTTTTACTTTTATTATAAATAGATATATATATGTGTGTGTGTGTGTGCATATCCCTGTCTTAGTTTATTATCAATATCACTGTTACATGTGATAAATATTAATGATTTCCCAATGATGTTAACATCAAATTTCTTTGCTCCTCAGACAATCAGTGAAACACTGGCTAATTTTTATAGACTTCACAGATGAAGGAAGTTTTGAAGGAGAAGCTGACTACAATTAGCATTTGTTACCAGTAGGAAACAKTGATGGGGTCTCCCATTTCTCCTGCCTAAAATAATTTACAGGGTTTGTACCAAAAATAATTTTGTAGACCCTTGAATGGTATACAGATCTGCAAGAGCTTGATAGAAAAGTTTGTTTGAATTCCTAGTTAGTCCTTCAGTTTTAGAGGCAGTATTTCTTGTGGGTTTTAAGTGGGAAGCCAAAGCAGGCTTTAATAAMATGTATTCAAATATAGTTTTAAATATTTGGTGGCTGCCACTGCTCCATTACAAATGCAATTTAAATCTTTCATGCATGYGAAGAATACTGATGCAATTGTTCAGCTTATATAACTTTTTATTGTGCTATATGGTTTTTATAAGTTCCATTAAAATCRTAGTGTTTATATAGCATGTATCTACTATATACTTAATAATTTATCTCCAACAGGTTATGGAAGACATTTCATTTGGAACAGAGGGTCATTTATCTGAGGTGAGTATTTCCTAAGCAGTATAAAGTGATGCTATTGTACAGACTTTGTCACAATTAGAACAATGGCATTGTTTTTATAGTGTTACTTTTGCTTTAAAATTGCTAGACAGTGTGTGAGCACTTGGAAAAGCAACTCATGCAATCACAACTTGAGTGGGCCCATTAATTTTTTGGGTTTTTTTCCATGGAAAATAATGGCATCATTTCAGAGTATTTCAGGGAGTTTATACTTAAATCCTGTGCTACTATTTTTAACACATACCAACAACAGGATGAACACTTTGGGGAAAAGAAGAACAAATAGTATTTAGCCAGCCCCACTGTCATGATGCTTGAGGATGGAATAAAATCAYCATGCTTAGCCTATTTTCTTGTGTGCAGCACTAAAAATACCTTCAAATTTACTTTTGATGTATGAAAACATACACACGTAATTCATGGTAATASGAATTTCATCTGAATGAAAATACTGCATGTCTGTGATTTTACACYATTTTCATAAATAAAAAYACACCAGAATCTAGTCCATGTATTTTAGAAAGCTAGGATAATTGGGTAGCATGAGATGCATTGCCTAGGAGAAAAATCTGCTTACATACAAAAATCTGTCTACCTACAAACTCAGAGTTTAGGTAATGTATGTGTAAGGAGAATTGCCCTGGTTCTGAGAGCTGTACTCTTTCCGTCTGGTTCATTTTTAAATCAGTAATTTACATATTAAGGAAATTTAGTATCCAAGCATTGTGTCCAGCCAGCAAATAAATGACATGGACAGGTAACCCCCAGTTCACCTTCCATAGCAGGCATACATGCCTACTGTCAAGTGACAAATGCTCTAAGCCAAGCAAATATTAAATAAGTAAATATTACCATTCAGGATAACTATTCAGATGAGGCATTTCTTTAGATTCCCACCAGTGAATCCAAAGACTGTGGAGCAGCTGGAATGTTCCAGGAAAGATAATCTAACTGCAAGACTAAGCTCAGCTTGTTGACTTTGTGTTCAAGGAGACTGTGACATGAGGGCACACATAGGATAGACTGCTTTGGCTGTGTGTGAGCTCAGCATAAATAAAACAGRAAGCCTCGAGAATGGAGGTGAACTTTGCAGAAAATGCAAATGGCCTTTCCCATCAGTGAGCTTTGCTGTGAATTATGGTTAAATTATAGTGAATTATAGTTAAATTAAAATAGTAGCAGCTACTTGTGTCCACAGATATCATGAAATAGGGGCGGGTAATCCCATGGAATAAAGGTGGCAAAAAGCCCTACAGCCTTCAGTGCAAAATGTTGAGGGCACCAGAGTTCACAGGTATACAGGGCTGTCACCACTGAAGTGTGTGCCAAAAGCTTGATATCTCAGAGTCCTCGGAAGCAGGGAGACTTTTAAAGTTTTGAGGGGTTACAAAAGTGCATGAAGAGAATATAAAGCAACGATAGAAATAAAAGAAATGGAAATATGCTAGAAAGCCAGGCTCCACCACACTGCTACAGCTGTATTGATGGTGACTTGAGGAGAGCTCTACATAAAGCTCTGTGAAAGTGTCAGCCCCTAAATGTGCCTTTGGTGCTCTGGCCCCTTATTTCACTCTGGTCAGGCTCCCCCTGCTTGCAGGAAAGCACCCAGTTAGTCATCCCAGATTGCTGCATCTCAGTGACTTAGGAGCAGAGATGGCAATGAACAATACAAGGAACCACCTATAAATGAAATCTAGYGATGCTGATTCCTTGCACAGCAGGGTCTGGACACTGGAAAACAGTTTGGTACTTTTGTGTCTTTTTCCAAGTCCTGACCCACTGTGAATTTTTATTGGTAAGTTAATAAATAGCCTCATCCTCCGCAGCAGGAGCTGGAATTGTCCCAGTGTACTTAAATAAGCCAGTGCAGTAGTGTGCTCTCGTTTTAGGAAGTCTGCAATTAGAGAAGATCTTCAGTCTACTGGGGATGAGAATAGGAAGGCTGCTGTCAGGCCACAGCAGGGTGCTGGAAGGCAGTGAAAAGCTCTATTCCTGCACAGATGCTTTTCCAGGGACACTTCTCTGTAGCTCTAATGGAAGATATGTGAAGGGAAGAATTGCCAACATTGGACTGTAATTCTGATGAGTTATTTAACACTCCCATGTGGAGAAGGGAAGGGGATCAGTGCAAGCAAAGGGAGCATGGGAAAATTGTGTGATGGTGGGAAAGAGGCAGGTCACAATTGCAGAACAACTGGCTGGAAGGCTTTATATCTAAATTGTTCCATATGAGAAGGGGAGGAGTGTGTGGTAGGGCTGAAGTAATTGGGAAACAACCTTGATCCCTCTTCCGAGAACAGTTAGATAGCTACCTCCACAAAAWAAAAGCTCATCTATACAAAGTCAGGGAAGCAACAGGTGAGTTTCTGTGGGACAGACTCTGTAGGAGGAGGAATCAGCAGATGTTCTTTTGTACTGTCCAGAACACATCAAGTTTATAGTACAGCATCATCTTCTTTTGGTGTAGAAAAGAGCAAACACAGTCACAGACTACATGTCTATGCCAGCAGTTTTTCAGTGGCTCCAAAGTTTTGAAAAGAAAGGTCAGACGTGTTTCTAAGAATGAGCCTAGGAGGGTACTGCACAGTGTAAGCATGAAGCAGCAAGGCCCCCGAGCACACTAAGCTACATTAAACAGATGAAATGTGAAATAGCAAGGGAGTTCAGGGATAAGTTGGAGGTAAGGGAAAGGTGAAAGAAAGCATGTGTGCCTTCTAATAGGAAAGGTGAATGAGAAAATAAATGAGATCAGAATTTTCTTTTCTTCCTTATTCTCTGTGCTTTTGATCTTTCTWAAAGTTATAAGCTACGTCCAAGTGTGTAGTGTTCCTAATAATCACTAYGAGGTAGCAAAAGACAAATGCAGTAAAAGATCCAAAGGCAAATGAGATGTATTCCAGTCAGGCTCAACTGATGAAATTTCTTCTGAGTGCATAGGAGCCAAGAAAAACAATCTCCAAACCATTAACAAGCTCCTTTGAAAACTCCTAGAGGAAGCTTGAAGCCCCAGGGGATCAGTAAAAGGCAGACTCTGTATTTGCCTTTAAAAAGGAGGTAGGCCAGGAGTTTATGTGCCAGTCAATATAATTTCAATTAGGATTAGAGTTCCAAATGGTCTTGATAGATTGAAAGAATTGTCTGAAATCAATAAGAAGGAATATGTTAAAAGACAGGTGCAAATTACATTTGAGGGAGAGAGTCGGATTTATGTATACAGATGGTAAATAGCAGCTAAGTTGACAATACTGCAGAAGAAGAATCTAGGTTTATAGTGGACTACAAATAGAGTGGGATTCATTACCTTCATTGTGTTGGAAGAAAGGGCAAATGTCATTTGCAGCCTCATTACTGGGAATGTCAGTTGTAAGACAGAAATAATTACTGTGCTTAGCTGAGAATGCCAAAGCCTCCAGAGGACTATGGMTCTGGTCTGGACACCTCCCTCTGTAGAAGACAGGAACACCGAAGAAAAGGAGGAAAGGAATAGAAATAAAAGGTTTAGAAATCCTAGTTTGTTTGAAAGTCAAAGTCTTCAATCACATAAAACATAATGATAAATAGGAGAACTATTGGTTATTGTGTGCTATATAAGGATAAAATGAAATGTAACCACCTTGGTTTGTAGCAAGAGGAAAACCTGCTCACTGCAAGGGTAGTTCAGCCCTGCAAGCAGAACCACCAGATCCAGTGTCAGGTGCTAAGGGCCATGCATGCAGACACCAGCTGAGGACAGTCACAGCAGGCTTGGTCACTCTGCAAGTCACAGGGCGAGCTCTGGTGATCCCTGGCTGCTCCCTGCACAGCCTTGCCATGATGGTGCTGGTCATGGTTAACATGCATTGCTCCCAAAGGCCTCACTCGTCAGGAACACCTGCCCAGGACAATGCACATGGGGCAGGAAATTGGAGATGCAGAGCAGGAGCAAGTCCTTGTTTGCTTCTCTCCTGTGTCTTGGACACCTCATGCAAGTGCAGCTTATTTATCTGAGGACATCTGTGCTTAGCCTGTGTGTGACTGAAGCATCTGCTCAAGCAGGATAAACATGGCTGGTTGCATTTAGTTTCTAGTAATTATTCAAAAGATGTTCTGGAGTTTCAGGGACTGACAATTGCCTTTAACTTCTGCAAGGGTTAAGGGYAAACCTGCAGCACTTCTGCCAACAGAAATCATTGTTCTAAACCTTGTGTCAGCATGTGAAGTATCTGCCTGCAAGGGCAACATTTTGTAGTTGTTATTYATGTTATTTTGAATTATTTTTACTGTTATAGGGGAGAAAATGCTTAGTGCAGGTGAAAGAAGTCTGGCTTTGACTCTGCAGAAAGTCTTCTAAGGCTTGTATTTTGTTGGGATTATGATATTGCTACTTGGAAGTAAGGCAATGCCCTTGTACAAAAGCTCCTYTGTAGAAAGAATGAATTTTAAGGATAGATCTGGGAATCCTCCTTCTCAGCACAACCACCAAAAACTCTAATATAGACTCTAATCCCTAATAGAATTAAACTAATCTAGGTACTACAATACCTATTCTTCTATATAAAATTGCCGACTAGATTGAAGAGCACAGAAGCTGTTTGCACTGGAAAAGCTGATCAAACATGTTCCTSTAGTAATGCTGCCAAGGAGATGTTGCTCATAGGTGACTATAATTAYTTGTAAAAGGGTAAAATAAAATGCRGAAGWYTAAAGTGGAAGCCATTCTCTCTGCTCTTGATGCAATATGCTGATCTTTCAGCAGTGCATCAGCTGTCATGTTGTCTGTTCTTGCTATTTCTTGCATCAGACTCTCACATCTTGGGAAACGATGAGAATTTCTACTTTGTCTGAGAAGGCAGAAGAATTGCACCTTAAAAATAAATCACACCCATATTTGTGCTGTTTTCACAGCTTAAGGATTTAGAGGGAAAGAAAAAAATCCCAGCCAGCTTCATTGCGKGTTCACAGAAAAATCCATAAAGCAATATTGCATTTCAGCTCTTCCCTGACTCCTGCCATCTCTCCCAGCTTCCTAAGAGTGCCGTTAGGGCAAAAATAACCAAAGTCTTAATATTTACAGCAGCTTGTAACATTGACATAACCTACAAGCTTGGATGAGTTGTGTTTTATTAATATGTTGAGCTTGAGGCAGAGTCCACTCTCCTCTCAGAGATATTGTCGATCAGTGTAAAGTTCCACTTTCCAACCAGGAGYTGTTCTGAATAGTTTGTGTATCAGTGACAGGGCTGTTCCTGCCTACATAGACAAATGTCATATAAAAATGCTACCAATGATGTTATCAGGCATGAAAGGCACTAAGAGAAATCTTTTCTATCTACTCCTCTGGGTGATCAAACCTTTTTTAAATGAGGGCCTGGGTGCAGAAGCTGTGGCATTGGTTGAATGTTTTGAATTATTCTTGTGTATTTTTGAGAGCACTGTATGTTTCTTGAATTTTCATTTTAATATTTATTTATTTATTTAAGTTCTGGAGAATCACAATATGATGGTTCTCCTCCATTTTTCACATGACACCTGCAAGTAAATTCCTCAGAGTTGATGCTTGTCTAAGATATTGGAAGAACTTCTCATTTCTGCTAAAAAGGCAGCTGTGTTATGTAGGTGCAGGAATAGCTTATCTATATGCTGCAATAAAGAGAAATTAGGCTGCATTACTAGGAGTTAAAGATTAATTAAATATAACCTCGATCTTACAGAGCTATTTTCATTACTCTGAAGTGCAACCATAGCCACTTAGTTATGATGAAATTGGTTTCAAGACCTAAACAAGTTTGATCTTTTACTCTTTCAGATTTCCCTGCCTTGCCATGTTGCTATTATAATTTGTTTCATTTTCCTAGGATTTATTGTTCCTTTATCTTAATTTCTGAAGYAAACAGGATTTTTGTTACTTTTTTAGACAATGCATTATGTACCCAAAATGTGGTGATTCAGGAAGAATAACCTGCATTTTTTCCTATGTGATAGAATGGACATGTCACTTTAAGTGGGAATCGAAGTATTCAGTTGACAAGGGAATTCAAGACAGTGAGTTAAAAAGGATAGTCTGTAATTTCTGAGCATGTTTTGTGCAAGACCAATACTCCAGTAAAGGCCTTTAGTGGAATTGCAGTGGGGTGGAAGCTATTGCCAAGGCTTAGTACCCCAAAATACAGATCAGTACTGATGCAAAGCACTCACACACTGAGATGCCTTTGCTACAGAACAAGTGTTCACCTCATGTTCTACAGGGTGTTCTTGAGGRTGTGTTTGCTAGGTTCCTTCCTTCTGTCCTTCCTGGGTCTTTACTTGGCTACAAAGTTTTCTTTAAAAGGAAAAAGGAAATGTCAAACATGAAATCAGAATATGTAGCAGCACATCAATAAGTGTAATCATCCAGCTGCACTGACTGTGGATTTCAGGCTGTAGTATTTCACTGTGGGTTTTAAGGCTCCGTGTGCATTAGAGTGAGGCCASACTTGCAACACAGAGCCTGTTTTATCAACCAGGTTATCTAAATGCTGCCTCCAGCATCTTTCGACCCACCTGAAGTTCAGTGAGGGGTTAAGTCTAAAAAGTACATTTTATCCTGTACATTCACTGAGACAGTGAAAAGGGAAAAATCTTCCACTGTGGATTTTCACAGTGGAGCCAGGCAAATCCAGGCAGTGTGCTCATCATAGCTGCTGAGTGAATTTCTTTTATTTGCATGTATGAGACAGGAAATGTGAGGGCAGGTTTTAAGTGGAAAAAATGGATCTTCTCTTGCAGCAACTAATGATAGAGCTGATTGACCAATTACCTGGATAAATCTTCTTGCTATAAGGGTACCTTAAAAAAGAAATGGGTACCTTATTGTAATGCATGTCTTTTAATATTTGTTTCTGTTTAAATATACTTAATGGCACAGGCATTCAGGAGTATACTGTAGCATGTACTTTTAAAAAATTTGCTGTCTGTAGTAACTGATGATTTCAAATCAGGACTAGACGTGTCATTCTGCTTGACAAGCCTGAATGTGATCCAAAATCTCATGAAGTAATAGTTTTTGATAAAGGCAATGCCTGGATCAGACTAAAGCATTCAATATCTTGATGGTATAAGAGCAAGAATCTGCTTTTTATGTGTCACTGTACAGGACTAATTAATTTTATTGAAGTACACAGTCTRCAGGAAGCATCTGGTTTTGAAAACTTCACTTGCAGCTTTTGTTTGCCAGTTTTCTGGATTCCAGCTGAGGAATTACTCTTGGTTTTTTTGGGTTTGTTTTTTTTTTCCCCAACATGGTTCTAGCAGAATTTCATCTTGGTACCATAATGTTTTCTTGCAAATAACCCCTGTCATCACTGCAGACAGCACTRTGGTGCCATGGGAGGGAGAGGAAAGGCTTGTTCCAGAGCTGCACAAATTAATTGATTTTTTTCCCTTCTTCTCATATTTGCTGCTTATTTGTGTCATTTCTCAAAGCACTTCTCAATGCAAGACATAAAAGATAGAAATTAGCCTTGTACAGCGTATCTGAAAAAACTTACGAGAAAAATTTTGAAACTGGTTTAAAATACTCAGTTTAAAACAGAAAAAGCATTTGCCTGTGTAAGTTATAAGTAGAGAAGCATTTCTTTGAAAAATTAGCCTTGTTTAATGATAACTCCATAAAAATATCATTTCATCTTGTAATCTCAAAGACTTTGATGCATTTTCTTTGATTGCTTGAGCAAAGTCCCTAAGTGCTCTAGCCAGAGTTTTCTTCAAAAATCTAAGTACATTTTGTGTGTATAAGAGTTACCAAAATGATGCTGCTTGAAATATTTACATGACCTAAAAGTGTAAATCATATTTACATGAACAACTTGAAATTTGGGTACCTTAATAGGGTGGTTAGCATGCGATTTCCCTCCCCTGCTGTAGTGAGACAACAGGGAAGAAGGAGAGCAGTTCAGTCTTCACACCCCTTTAATCATCTGCTGAAAGTGAGATCGTGACTATTTTTCTGCTGGGAAGTAGACTGAGACCACAAGATCATTCCATTTCATATTAATCAGCAATTTATTATACAGAAACAGCTTTTTATCTCTCTAATGGGAATTTGCTTTTAGGCAATGTCTTTGCACTGCAAAGTATCCTATCCCCTTACAAATATTTTATTTTCCCTTTAATTTGATGCAAATTTGATGTAGAAAAGTGCAGTCGGCAACAAACCCRCTTTCTTTTCTTTTTCAACTTTCTGTAGGAGTTCTTCATATTTTCTGCAGAGCTGGGAGAAAAATGTGAAGCAATAAGTGAGAAATTGGTGCATCTGGAAGATCAATTGCAAAGTTCCGCCTGCAGAGTTGATGAAGGAGTTATTCATATCCTTTTTGCTATAGCTATAGATACGTATCAATCTGTGTAGGTACGTACATGAAATACTTGCCTTCCAGATTCATKTGGAATGATAGCTGTTAGTGTAGATTAGATACATTAAGAATGGGAGAATTGATTGTCTTGCTGAAATGGGCATTTTTGTGTAAGTTTTCCTGTAATGCATTTTCACTGTGGTCTGATCCAGCTTTAATTGATTTAAACAGGAGTTAGTTCTTTGTAAATTAAGATTAGGCATTGAAAAGCTTTATTTTGCTGTTAAAATCCTTTTGTTTGTAATGCTTATGTAATTRAATACATAGTGAATCGAAAGGTACATGCATATGAGTGGCCATGCACCTGCATTTCCCAGCATGATTTAGCTGAATTAAATGCTATGTTATTGACTCAGACTGTGTATATTGTCACCTGCAGTTTGGGTATTTTTCTTTAAAAAACAAAAAGTGCAACAGAGGCATCATGTGACATCCTACACAATCTGCCTCTRACTCACCAGTGCAAGTAACCACACGAGATCCTGTCTTATGCACCCTTACCTCTTTTTGTGCTTCATCAGCCAGTTTTCTGAAGATTGCTTAACCTTTATGAGGCATTCCTTGGCACAAAGTTTTCTTTCATTTGTAACTTTAATAGTTAAAACTTTTCTTAAAAGAGATTTTGTCCTTCTAAGAAAGGGTAAAGATWGTAGGAAGTGGTGAAGCTGAAGGAAGATGAGACTAGTGAGCTGGTTAAATTTTAGTAGAGAAGAGGAGGCAGCTGAGAGGAKAATGCAGAAAGATAAATATGTTCAGGTTGCAGGGATTAGCAGAGGAGCCCTTGCAGACACCTGAAGATGAGTTGAGGTGATGATGGTGTGAGAAAGGATTCTGTTCCTGCTAAGCTGAGGTGGGCAGTCCTGCAGGGCATAGTTTAGAGAAAGGAGAATAAATAGTGTGTGGAAATACCACTGTGTTTTAAGTAATTGGGCATCTATTGCAAGTCTTAGTGAAATTCCTGTTCTAGAAACTKAGTTTCTTAGAAGGTAACTGAAGAATAAATTGTGAGGGCCAGAGGGAGAGGAGAATGGTGCTGGGGAAGGGGGATTTGCATTGGAGGAGAGAAATCCAGTCAGTAATTTGTCACTATTTCGAATCTTTATTTTCTAAGCATTTAAAGATACACACAATATACAGAAAGATTATTCAACATTATATTCATTGTATTTGCAGTGTTCATACTTGGTTCAGTTGTGTTTGCCCAGTGCGTTCTTTTCAGAGTTATATGGATGTGTCTTGTGTCTGTGTGTGCAGAGCATCCAATTCCTTTCTCCCTTGTGTATATTTACTCTCAAATGAGCTTTTCTCAGTGGTCCTTACAGGAGAACACYGAGGGCTGGAGTTATGGGTTCTTTGCGGGGAACTTAAGTTAATATTCAAACTGAACAGTCAGGTCTGATCATAATTTACTAGGGAAGGTGAAATTAGCTAGAAAACCACATTTTTGGTTCCAGAAGATAATACACTACAAGAATATGAAATAATAATGTTTTTATRTCCTATGGAGCATGCATATTTCTTCATAGCTGTTGAAACTGCATGGGTTAGTTAAAAAAAAAGAAATTAATAATTGGAAATTTCAGTAGAGATGTATATTAGTCTCATTTTAAGCCACAGTTTTCTGATAGAGATCTGACTTCCTGTATCAGTGAAATTCAGCTCATGTTATCTAAACTCAGAAATGCACACTGTGTGATATCCTGGTCCTCGCAAGACCATCAGTCACAAAATACAAAACCATGTTTAAAACATAGGGACGTACAAAGAAGCAGTTCAGCAATTCAGCTRCCCCTCATTAACATTCAGTTGCTATTTCAGAGGTAGTCCAGATCAATGTGCATAAAATGTTACCATCTGGTACATGTAATCACTGTGCTATACTTTAAAAAGGAATGAGAAAAATAGCTGCTGCAGTACTACAGACCTGTAGATTGTTTTTTTAAATAAAGACTGCTCAGTGCCTATAAAATTAGCTTTCACTCATTGGTAACTTGCTTGTATTGCAGGACTAACGCTTAGATAAGAGACAGCAATTAGCCTCAGTAGAAGAATTTATAATTAGTTAATAGATGCATGATAAGCTATTTGGTTTTAAATAAAACCATTTCCTATCAAAAATACTGGGAAAGTATACAGTCTTTGTTAAAAATCCATAGAACTCTGAGACCAGGACCTGAAATAGTAATGAAAGAAGGATAAATTTTTCGAAGTCYTGTTCACTGGTTATTTTCACCCTTCCCATCATCCTCCCAAAAAACTGCCTTATACATAAACGTTACAAAATGTATTAGGTCAAAAATCTAACTGGGGGCTGCACAGATGTAAATTAGTCCTGTGGTCTGATTATTAAAAGACTTCTAAAGACTCCACTGAGAAAAAGAAATTCCTGATGCTCTCGAGCCATTTGCCAATGTTTAATGTGTCATAGCTTTGATTAATAATTAAGTTTGTATTAGAAGAAAAAACCCAGATGTCATTGTTTTTCACTCTATGTTTKGATGGCATAGCACACTGAAATCAACCAGGCTGCTCATTGTAAGTGCCAGCACGACCTGAACAAAGGAGAAACCCAGTGATATTTCTTGGCCCTGAGTATAGGCACAGATCCACTTGCAATTCTAATTTATTGTTGGAATCTTTCACAAAACACATTTAACTGTACTTTTATATAAAATACATCAAGCAATAGGCGCATGGGGGGTGTATGTTAGAGTTTTCTATGGTACTGTGACAGATTTGCTAAATTCTATGTAGTATAACCAAATAAACCCACAAAATATTCAATTACGGTTAATCATTAATAAGTGTATGAAAACAGTCCACATCATTAATTGGAAAAACCAAAGGATGAGAGATGACTCATTCTGGTGTCTGCAGAGCTGATGAGAGGTGTTACTTTCCTGACAGTAAAGGCCTGGAATTCCCACTAAAATTAAATGGAGCTTATATTGCAATTTCACAGTCATTTTTGTTCTTAATTAGCAGTTACATTTTGATAGACAATTTGAATGCATGTAATAGTTCCTCTTGGTGAAAATGCTTTGTTGGAAGAAAACCTGGTTGGACTATTATTATAAAAGCAATCTTCATTCCTTGCCCTAATGTGGGCATTTTAATCSGTTTTTGAAAGTAGAATTTTGTGCCTAAACGTTCACTAAACATTGCAGGTCACGTTGCTAACCCTTCACCTTTACCCTGCAGCAGGCTCCCATACAAGTCCTGCTTTRCCAAAGTGGGTTTTCAACAGAATCATGTAAAATTTAGCCCTGTCTGAACCTCCCTGAAGAATCTCACTCTGGGCAAGCCTGTAAGAGATTTTTGGGATCCTCCAGGAGTCAGASGTGGCAGTGGCTCTTTGATTTTATTTTAGATGACATGAGGGTAAGCTCTTCCCACTGTGTGTCACACAGAGAGCAGGGTTACATTCGTAGGGTTTGTGCTGTGATGGAGGCAGGTCAGTGTATTTCCACTCAGGTGCTGCAKCTTCTTTGCCTTTCATTTTCTGCTGGAACTAGTGATTTGGAGTTAGCTGATATTCAGGCCACTGAAGTGTTCAATTTTTCAATATGTAGCAGTGGCTCTGCTGCAGTTTTTTGTTTAGCAGCTTTTGGGGCAGTATTTTGGGTTTTGCATGGGAGGGGTATTACAGTTATATATAAATATACATATATATTATATATAATATGTAAACTATATTTCTATAGTTTATAGAAATAACATTCATGGATGTGAAGGCRGAAGACAGTAACCAAGGGAGTAAATGGGAAATTTCTAATTGGCTSCACTACTGCTAATACCCCTCTATTTTGTAAGAAGTGATGGACTTCCAAAGGGCATTTTGCTCTCTTGCTGTGACATTGCACAGGCCTCATATGGAGACAGTAGGGGCTTGCTTGGTGTGTTTCATTTGCTCCTAAGAGTGCTCTTTAAAACGGTTAAAACCCAGGTAATTCAAAATACTAACTGAAATGTCTTGGCTCTTCGSTGGTCCTTTGGCATGTAGCACACTCAAGCACAGCATTGAACTTTTGAGGTAATCTGGTCCAATTTCCTACTCAGGGAGGGTCACTAGAGGAGGTTGTCCAGGATGTTGTCTGGTCAGGTTTTGAATATACCCAAGGATGGAGACTCCCAACATTTTTGTGTAACACAGTCCAGTGTTTGACCACCTTCAAACTATAAAAAAAGGCTTTCACGTATGCAGATTCAATTTCCTCCTTTTGAATCTCTCCCTGTTGCTTCTTGTTCTGTCAGTGGACAAAAAAGAGTCCAGAAGAGTCTCTCCTTCATTCCTGCCTTTCAGCTATTTACTTGCAGTGGTAATAGCCATGTGAGCTTTCTTTTTCTMAGGTCGAAGAGCTCCAGCTCTCTCAGCATCTTGTCATGTGATGGATACTCGAGTCCATTAAACTGGTCCTGGCTGGAGTCATTCCAATAAGTCCATCTCTTTTATTGTGGAGCCCCCAACATCCAGATGGGACCTCACCAGTGCTGATGAGGGTGGAAGGATCATCTCCCTCTGCCTGCAGGCAGTGTTTTTGTTAATCCAGCCTGGGATGCTGTTGGCCACCTTTGCCTCAAGATACATTGATGTGTCTGGTGTGTGCTCAGCTTATTGCCCACCATGACCTCCAGGCCCTTTTCTGCAGAGCTGCTTTCCAGCTGGCTTGGCCCCTCCACAGGTGCTGGTGCCTGGGGTTAGGAGTGACACTTACACTTAGGTGGTGGGACATTGAGCTGAGCTTCTCTTTGCAGCCACTGTGAAGTTTAGCTTTTGGAAACAAGCAGAACAGTTAATCAGAAAGAGGTTTTTGATTGGGACTTTAGTTGTTGTTGTTGTTGTTTTTAACCTGGTTATTTCTGTTCTTCAAGAACTAATTTATTCTTCAGATGTCCAAAAAATGCAGTTACTTTTCAAAGTCCCGTTGCCCTTCTTTCAGCTCACTAGTAGTCCTTCATTGTCCTTCCAATGTCTTTTATCTTAGGATATGTACCCTTAGTTTCTAACCTTTCCTATAGGAAGGCAACTCATTGATAATATCTACTTTTTGTCTCTTTTCCCTAAACATCTGTGCTGAGAGATCAGAAGCTGCATTTGAGCAAAATGATCCCATTTTTTCCAAAAATTAAGTAAGTCTCTACAGTAACTAGATCTGCTTTT